GACTCTAAATACTGTCTCAATATTTAATTCTACAGGCTCTAAATACCCTGTTCATACTAGGAAGCGCTTCAGAATCTAAATACTGTCTCGATACTTAATTCTACAGACTCTAAATACTGTCTCCATACTGGGAAACTCTCTTGAATCTAAATACTGTCTCAATATTTAATTCTACAGGCTCTACATACTGTCTCCATACTAGGAAACTCTCCTGAATCTATATACTGTCTCGATATTTAATTCTACAGACTCTAAATACTGTCTCCATACTGTAAAACTCTTCTGAATCTAAATACTCTCTCAATATTTGATTCTACAGACTCTAAATACTGTCTCCATACTGGGAAACGTGCCTGAATCTAAATACTGTCTCGATATTTAATTCTACAGGCTCGAAATACTGTCTCCATACTGGAAACTCTCCTGAATCTATATACTGTCTCGATATTTAATTCTATAGGCTGTAAATACTGTCTCCATACTGGGAAACTCCAATGAATCTAAATACTGTGTCGATATTTAATTCTACAGGCTCTAAATACTGTCTCCATACTGGGAAACTCTCCTGAATCTATATACTGTCTCGATATTTAATTCTACAGGCTCTCAATACTCTTTCCATACTGGGAAACTCTGCTGAATCTAAATTCTGTCTCGATATTTAATTCTACAGACTCTAAATACTGTCTCCATGCAGGGAAACTCTCCTGAATCTTAATACTGTATTGATATTTAATTCTACAGACTCTAAATACTGTCTCCATACTGGGAAACTCTCTTGAATCTAAATACTGTCTCAATATTTAATTCTACAGGCTCTAGATACTGTCTCCATACTAGGAAACTCTCCTGAATCTAAATACTGTCTCCATACTGGAAAACTCTTCTGAATCTAAATACTCTCTCAATATTTGATTCTACAGGCTCGAAATACTGTCTCCATACTGGAAACTCTCCTGAATCTAAATACTGTCTCGATATTTAATTCTACAGACTCTAAATACTTTCTCAGACAGTAATTTACAGTCTCGAATTACTGCCTCCATACTAGGAATATCTCCTGAATCTAACCTGTCCCTTTTTATAAGATTCTTTAAGTCCACTTAACACCTTTTCTTGCACCTGGGACACATCATTTTCAGGGTTTAAGACAAAGATTCTGCAATACCTTGCTTCTTCTTGGATCACATTTGCAAAAACAGGAATTATTGATACACACCTTTGATGTTTTTTGTTTTCTTGTTGTTTTTTTTTTTTTTTTTTTTTTTTTTTTGTTTTTTTTTTTTTTTTGTTTTTTTTTTTTTTTTTTTTTTGCATGTGAAAAAACATAAGTAATCAAAGATTACATAGCTCACCTCAACAAAAGTTATAGTTAAGTAATGCAGTCACGTAAAAAGGAAATGGAACAAATTGCATAGATCATCCATGCAACTCCCAATGATCACACTACGTAGAAAACATAACACATATAAATGTTCCGCACCAAAACTTATACGCGATATGCTAATGTCGATGTCGCAAGTATTACATTAGTCACATACTTAACGCATATAAACACTCCACTCCAAAACTTTAATTCTATACGCTGATGTAGATGTCACAAGTATAGCATAAGTCACATATTTAACACATGTAAACGCTCCAAAACTTTGTTGAGGTGAGCTCAAAGAAACCCACCACCACTCATGCATAAATACTGACAATGACCAGACGACAAGAAACCACTTACTTCAGACTCTACTTTGGACTGAGGCACTGAGGCAAGGCATATCTTGTGGCAGACGGAGTTTTGTGTGCAGATAAGACTTTCAAACAATAAACTTTGAAAATATAGAGCAAATAAACATGTTAATTTGAATACTGAAAATTTCAATAATGAATAAACAATGTTTTATCACCAGTGCATCATCATTTGTATCAAAGAATTACTAAATTAAGCCAAAATTCTAACATTTGCAAAATGTAGCAAAATTAATATTGAAACCAGATATATAAAAAAACCAAAGTATTAATTTACTACCAAGCCAAATGATAAAAATGAATTTAGAATTTATAAAAAAGTCATAACAGAAAATAAGCAAAATATGCAAAAGGTTACTGCTTTGACAGACAAACAAAAAACACAAAACTCCCTAAAAACTCAGAACCAAAATATCAAATGCATCATGGACATCAATGAACAGGTGAGGGGGGGGGGGAGAAAAACCATTAACAATGAAGACATGTTAAAGAGGATAAAGGAAAATGGGAAATAATTATGAGAAAAACATTTTAGAGGGGAGGGAGGAAAATAGGAAATAAGCAAGGCAGATTACTGTTGAGGAACAACATGTTATAAGGGAGGGAGGAAAATGGGAAATAAACAAGACAGGTAAATAATGAGGAAAAACATGTTATAAGGGAGGAAGGAAAATGGGACATAAACAAGAGAAGTTAATAATGAGGAAAAACGTTATAAGGGAAGGAGGAAAATAGGAAATAAACAAGACAGGTAAATAATGAGGAAAACGTGCTATAAGGGAAGGAGGAAAATGGGAAATAAACAAGAGAGGTTAATAATGAGGAAAAACATGTTATAAGGGAAGAAAGAAAATGGGAAATAATCAAGACATGTTAATAATGAGGAAAAATATGTTATAAGGGAGGGAGGGAAATGGGAAATAAACAAGAGAGGTTAATAATCAGGAAAACATGTCAGAAGAGAGGGAGGGAAATAGGAAATAAGCAAGGCAGGTAAATACTGACAAAAACATGTTTTAAGGGAGGGAGGAAAATAGGAAATAAAGACAGAATATTGATGAGAAAAACATGCTAAGGGAGGGAGGAAAATAGGAATAGACCTGTTAATAAGGAAGTATGAAATGTTAAATTTATGATCCCTACGTCTAAATACCGGTGTGTGAAAAAATATTTAGACACAGGGTTCATAAGTTACAGAGAAGGAAGACGGGTGAATGAAAAATATGTTAAAAAGGTAGAACATGTTAGTAATCAGATAGGAAATAGTTAATAATGGAGGGGGGGTTAACTGAAAATGAGAGACCTGTTAATAGGAAGTATGAAATGTTAAACTCATGAACCCTACGTCTAAATACCGGTGTGTGAAAAAATATTTAGACACAGGGTTCATAAGTTACAGAGAAGGAAGACGGGTGAATGAAAAATATGTTAAAAAGGTAGAACATGTTAGTAAGCAGATAGGAAATGGTTAATAATGGAGGGGGGGGGGGTTAACTGAAAATGAGAGACCTGTTAATAGGAAGTATGAAATGTTAAACTCATGAACCCTACGTCTAAATACCGGTGTGTGAAAAAATATTTAGACACAGGGTTCATAAGTTACAGAGAAGGAAGACGGGTGAATGAAAAATATGTTAAAAAGGTAGAACATGTTAGTAAGCAGATAGGAAATAGTTAATAATGGAGGGGGGGTTAACTGAAAATGAGAGACCTGTTAATAGGAAGTATGAAATGTTAAACTCATGAACCCTACGTCTAAATACCGGTGTGTGAAAAAATATTTAGACACAGGGTTCATAAGTTACAGAGAAGGAAGACGGGTGAATGAAAAATATGTTAAAAAGGTAGAACATGTTAGTAAGCAGATAGGAAATGGTTAATAATGGAGGGGGGGGTTAACTGAAAATGAGAGACCTGTTAATAGGAAGTATGAAATGTTAAACTCATGAACCCTACGTCTAAATACCGGTGTGTGAAAAAATATTTAGACACAGGGTTCATAAGTTACAGAGAAGGAAGACGGGTGAATGAAAAATATGTTAAAAAGGTAGAACATGTTAGTAAGCAGATAGGAAATGGTTAATAATGGAGGGGGGGGGGGGTTAACTGAAAATGAGAGACCTGTTAATAGGAAGTATGAAATGTTAAACTCATGAACCCTACGTCTAAATACCGGTGTGTGAAAAAATATTTAGACACAGGGTTCTTAAGTTACAGAGAAGGAAGACGGGTGAATGAAAAATATGTTAAAAAGGTAGAACATGTTAGTAAGCAGATAGGAAATGGTTAATAATGGAGGGGGGGGGGGGGTTAACTGAAAATGAGAGACCTGTTAATAGGAAGTATGAAATGTTAAACTCATGAACCCTACGTCTAAATACCGGTGTGTGAAAAAATATTTAGACACAGGGTTCATAAGTTACAGAGAAGGAAGACGGGTGAATGAAAAATATGTTAAAAAGGTAGAACATGTTAGTAAGCAGATAGGAAATAGTTAATAATGGAGGGGGGGTTAACTGAAAATGAGAGACCTGTTAATAGGAAGTATGAAATGTTAAACTCATGAACCCTACGTCTAAATACCGGTGTGTGAAAAAATATTTAGACACAGGGTTCATAAGTTACAGAGAAGGAAGACGGGTGAATGAAAAATATGTTAAAAAGGTAGAACATGTTAGTAAGCAGATAGGAAATGGTTAATAATGGAGGGGGGGGGGGGTTAACTGAAAATGAGAGACCTGTTAATAGGAAGTATGAAATGTTAAACTCATGAACCCTACGTCTAAATACCGGTGTGTGAAAAAATATTTAGACACAGGGTTCATAAGTTACAGAGAAGGAAGACGGGTGAATGAAAAATATGTTAAAAAGGTAGAACATGTTAGTAAGCAGATAGGAAATGGTTAATAATGGAGGGGGGGGGGGTTAACTGAAAATGAGAGACCTGTTAATAGGAAGTATGAAATGTTAAACTCATGAACCCTACGTCTAAATACCGGTGTGTGAAAAAATATTTAGACACAGGGTTCATAAGTTACAGAGAAGGAAGACGGGTGAATGAAAAATATGTTAAAAAGGTAGAACATGTTAGTAAGCAGATAGGAAATGGTTAATAATGGAGGGGGGGGGGGTTAACTGAAAATGAGAGACCTGTTAATAGGAAGTATGAAATGTTAAACTCATGAACCCTACGTCTAAATACCGGTGTGTGAAAAAATATTTAGACACAGGGTTCTTAAGTTACAGAGAAGGAAGACGGGTGAATGAAAAATATGTTAAAAAGGTAGAACATGTTAGTAAGCAGATAGGAAATGGTTAATAATGGAGGGGGGGGGGGTTAACTGAAAATGAGAGACCTGTTAATAGGAAGTATGAAATGTTAAACTCATGAACCCTACGTCTAAATACCGGTGTGTGAAAAAATATTTAGACACAGGGTTCTTAAGTTACAGAGAAGGAAGACAGGTGAATGAAAAATATGTTAAAAAGGTAGAACATGTTAGTAAGCAGATAGGAAATGGTTAATAATGGAGGGGGGGGGGTTAACTGAAAATGAGAGACCTGTTAATAGGAAGTATGAAATGTTAAACTCATGAACCCTACGTCTAAATACCGGTGTGTGAAAAAATATTTAGACACAGGGTTCATAAGTTACAGAGAAGGAAGTCGGGTGAATGAAAAATATGTTAAAAAGGTAGAACATGTTAGTAAGCAGATAGGAAATGGTTAATAATGGAGGGGGGGGGGGGTTTAACTGAAAATGAGAGACCTGTTAATAGGAAGTATGAAATGTTAAACTCATGAACCCTACGTCTAAATACCGGTGTGTGAAAAAATATTTAGACACAGGGTTCATAAGTTACAGAGAAGGAAGACGGGTGAATGAAAAATATGTTAAAAAGGTAGAACATGTTAGTAAGCAGATAGGAAATGGTTAATAATAAACACATGTTAATGAGCAGAGAGAATGGGAAAGAAGCAAGACAGGTTAATAATGAACAGACATGTTAGAAAGGAGGAATAGAGGGAAAAGGGACACCACTCACCATCATCATGATGCCTCCCATCTCCTACTTTCCCACTGGTGGTGGCTTATCCTGGGGAATCACTTCCAGGGAAGGCGAGCATCGAGATGGAAGCCAGGAAGGATGACCTCCAAGAGACTGAGAAGATGGCAATGCCATCTCCCAAGCATGTGCAAAAGCATGATCTCTCTGAGAAGGAGCTATCACAGACTGAGTGGATAGCACTGCCATCCCTTCAGTTTGTTCAAGCTTCATCTCAGGAAGATCAAACACAGGCTTGAGAGCTGGCACTGCAATCTCCTCAGGCTGTTCAAGGTCTTCCAAAGGATTAGCTATCACAGACTGAGTAGATGGCAGTGCCATCTCTTCAGTTTGTTCTAGCTCCTCCTCAGGAAGATCAAGCACAGGCTGGAGAGGTGGCAGTGCCATCTCCTCAGGCTGTTGGAGAGCATCTCCAGCCCCCACCCTCTGCTGCCTGATGGACTTCCGCACCTAGAAGGGAAAAAAAAGTGTCAGAAAGGGGTCAGAATATTAAATCTCAAACTATACAGAACCTCCAGTTCCATAGCGTTCATTAAGAAAACAAGAGGCCCAAGGGCCTTGAATCACTCTTGTGATAAATTGTACAACCTATCACTTCTTTTTAAAGCCTTTAAATATCCTGTATATTTAGATAAAGCCTTGAAATTCCAAAAGTAAATCATGACCTACATTTTGGTTCAAACACTCCGAGAACCCAGGATGAATCAACTGACAAAGTGTGATGAATCAAAGCCCCTTATTATCTTAATTATTCAGATATAGCCATGAGATTATGAGATTTCATTTGATGATTCTTAGTGAATTAGGACCTGAAATATTTGAATATAGCCATAAAATTTCAAAAGTAGGTCACAGTGACCTTTTTAGTTGACCTTCTCTGAAGAACCAAGATGCATCAACTGACAAAGTTTGATGATTCTTAGCCAATTAGGACCTGAGGTATTTAAATATAACCATAAAATTTCAAAAGTAGGTTATGGTGACCTACTTTTGGTTGACATTCTCCGAGGACCCAAGATGCATTAATTGACTAAGTTTGATGATTCTAATCCGATAAGTACCTGAGATATTTAAATATAGACTTAAAATTTCAAAAGTAGGTCTTGGTGACCTACTTTTTACTTGTGGTTTTCCGAAGATCTAAGATGCATCTATTGACAAAATTTGATGATTCTAAGCCAAAAAGTACCTGAAATATTTAAATATAGCCATGAAATTTCCAAAGTAGGTCACAGTGACCTTCTTTCTAGTTGACATTCTCTGAGGACCCAGGATGCATCACCTGACAAAAATTAATGATTCTAAGCCAATTAGAACCAGAAAATATTTAAACGTAGCAATAAAATTTCAAAAGTAGATAATGGTAACCTTAAATATAGCCATAAAATTTTAAAAGTAGGTCACGGTGATCTACTTTTTAGTTTAAACTCTTTGAGGAACCAAGATGCATCGACTGACAAAGTTTGATGATCATAGGACTGATAGTGTCCAAAATATGCCTCTAAAACAATTTGAAAAGGAATGCCTGCAAAATTCAAGAAGTAGGTCATCGTGACCTACTTTTTGATAAATATGTTTTAAGTTCCTTAGATGAATCAATTTACAAGATTTGATGATTCTAAAGTTTTAAGTATTTGCAATGATGACCCTTAAATGTTTTCAACAAGATTAGCCATAAAATTCAAAATAGTAGGCCATAGTGACCTACTTTTCAGTTATAGTACTTTGAGGACCTACGATGCATCAACTGACAAAGTTTAATGATCATAGGCATTAAAGTGTCCAAAATATGCATCAAAATCATTTTAAACACAAATGCCAGAAAAATTATACAAGAGGCCCATGGGCCACAATGCTCACCTGAGTCAATATGGCCCTGCTGTTCTTCATCAGCAGATTTCTATTCATATGTAAAGCTTTGATCAGCTGTTCTAGGTATACCCTACCCCCAGGTGCCATGTTTTGAATGAAATTGAAACTAAACTTTTTGAGGATGCTTCTATATTCATTTAACTAATCATGGCTTTGCTGTTCTTGTAAACGGAATTTTAAAGATGTCTGCCACCCTTTCTGGGGGGGGGGGGGGGGGGGGGGAAGGTGGTCATGATATGAACAAACTTCACTCTACACTACCTGAGGATGCTTCCATATGAATATGAGGCCAAAATTTTTCTATTTTCTGATTTACGGAATTTTTTTCTCAAAAATTTGAGTCGGGTGGTCGAAATAAAAATAAAAATAAAAGCTTGAAGTTTAAGCAGTCGGTCAGAAAAATAAAAATAAAATGAAAACATAGGTAATCAAAGATTATGAAGCTCACCTCGACGGATGTTATCTTTAAGGAAGACAAATTTCACATCATATTCTTTTTTTAGTTTGTGTACATCCCAAGATCAATATCCATGCAAGTTTGGTTTAAGTACAACTTATAGTTACTAGGAAACAGACCTGTTCAAAAAACGTTTATCCTGTTTACTAATCAAGAAAATTTTGGTCAGTTCCAACATCCAAAATAAGTCTGGAAGTTTTCATCCTCAGATGCACCATCTATGCAAGTTTAATCATAACAGTCCATAATGTTATATAGTTACTCCAAAAAAAGTATCCTGGACACTCATCTGGAAAATGCGGGTCAGATTCAGAATCCAAAGCAAATTTGAAAGTGACCGTCCCTAGCTACATCATCCATGCTAATTTGGTTAAAATATGGCAAAAATTCACTCATGTGGAAGATCTAGGTCGAACCAGCAGGTTGGTTAGTGTACATCCCAAGATGCATCATCCATGCAAGTTTGGTCCAGGTAGGGCTTATACTTTCTTGGGAATGGATCTGCTCCAAAACCTTTAACCTGGTCACTCATCTGGAAAATCTAGGTCAGATCAAGCATTGAAGCAAGTGTGGTAGTGTCCATCCCTTGATGCATCATCATTGCAAGTTTGGTCCAGGTAGAGCTTAAAGTTACTTGGGAATGGACCTACTCCAAATACCTTAACCTAATCACTCATCTGAAAAATCTAAGTCAGATCCAGCAGCCAAAGCAAGTGTGGTAGTGTCCATCCCTAGATGCATCATCCATGCAAGTTTGTTCAAGGTAGGGCTAATATTTACTCGGGAATGGATCTGCTCCAAAAACTTTAACCTGGTCACTCATCTGGAAAATCTAGGTCAGACCCAGCATCTGTAGCAAGTGTGGTAGTGTCCATCCATAGATGCATCATCCATGCAAGTTTGGTCAAGGTAGGGCTTATAGTTACTTGGGAATGGACCTGCTCCAAAAAACTTTGACCTGGTTACTCATCTGGAAAATCTAGGTCAGATCCAGCATCTGAAGCAAGTGTGATAGTGTCCATCCCTAGATGCATCATCCATGCAAGTTTGGTCCAGGTAGGGCTAATAGTTACTTGGGTATGGACCTGCTCCAAAAACATTAACCTGGTCACTCATCTGGAAAATCTAGGTCAGGTCTAGCACCTGAAGCAAGTGTGGTAGTGTCCATCCATAGATGCATCATCCATGCAAGTTTGGTCAAGGTAGGGCTTATAGCTACTTGGGAATGGACCTGCTCCAAAAACTTTAACCTGGTTACTCAACTGGAAAATGTAGGTCAGATCCAGCATCCGAAGCAAGTGTGGTAGTGTCCATCCCTAGAAGCATCATCCATGCAAGTTTGGTCAAGGTAGGGCTTATAGTTACTTGGGACTTTAACCTGGTCACTCAACTGGAAAATGTAGGTCAGATCAAGCATCCGAAGCAAGTGTGGTAGTGTCCATCCCTAGAAACATCATCCATGCAAGTTTGGTCCAGGTAGAGCTTATAGTTACTTGGGTATGGACTTGCTTTTAATACTTTAACCTGGTCACTCAACTGGAAAATCTAGGTCAGATCCAGCATCTGAAGCAAGTGTGGTAGTGTCCATCCCTAGAAGCATCATCCATGTAAGTTTGGTCAAGGTAGGGCTTATAGTTACTTGGGAATGGACCTGCTCCAAAAACTTTAACCTGGTCACTCAACTGGAAAATGTAGGTCAGATCAAGCATCCGAAGCAAGTGTGGTAGTGTCCATCCCTAGAAGCATCATCCATGCAAGTTTGGTCCAGGTAAAGCTTATAGTTACTTGGGAATGGACTTGCTTTTAAAACTTTAACCAAGATGCTAATGCTGACGCCAACACCGATGCCGGGGGTATAGCATAAGCTCATCTCAACTTCGTTGAGGTGAGCTTAAAATGCAATAAAAATTTTATTTTTAATTAAGGATGGATTTTTTTTTTCTATGACCTTAATTTGTTAGGAAAAAAAAGTTATTTGAAAAACTTATGTATACAAAACACAAAACTGGTATTGTTAATGTATCAATGAACTATTTTAAATTGAACTTTCTCTTAGATATATGGGGCAGGGGGTGCATTTCTAGTAATAACAGCTCGCAGTTTCTAACATTAATGCAAATCAAGCATACAAATCTGTAGTCTTCTCTCAGTTATCAAATATCATATTAGTGTCACCACAGTAAAACTTATAGGACTTATATCACATCCCTCATAAACTTTTCAGAATCTTTTATTTTTTGGTATTCAGCAAATTACAAGATTTGAGGATTTTGAACTAGCTCTGGCAAAGTTATGGCAAAAATACAGTGAGACATTCAATGGATCAGCTAAAATAAATTAATTCACAGAAGTGCATGTGAAACATGATAAAAAGAAAAGTTGTATAATATTTTTTTAATGCAATTCCAATTAATATATATGTAGGTGGATTGTCTTAAAATTGAGTTTAAAAAAATCTTTAAAATGTATTTCAACGTGGACAAAGGGTGATCAAAAAGTTTGCGAACTATCTCTATATTTAAAGAACCACAATTCAGATCAGAATGAAATTTGGCACACATATAGTCATACACATGTTCCATAAATAGCAGATGTTAAAAAATGTTTTGCTCCATGTTTGTGATGTCACAATGTAAAAATGACGTCAGTCTGTAGCTATAGGTCACTTGTGACAAAAAATGGTTGACTCAGTCGTACTCGAGAATGAACAGCTGTAAAGTTTAACATATATCTCTGAAATTCCTTTGCAGTAGAACATGATAATTTGTACAAGGTTTATGAAGACAAAAGACTTACCAGAAGTTCACTCATTAATTGGATTGAATGTTTTAGTGAAGGCAGGGAGATGGTTAAAAATGATGTTTGTTCTGTTGCCCAGCGAAAGCAAGTCAGTAAAAAGATGTGTCTTTAGTTGAGCAATTTGTTTTGAAAGATCACCAAGTTACAGTAAGAAAAATAGTTGAATATCTGAGCAATAATATAAATATGAAATCCCTAAAATATCATTTACTTTAGACTTTGAACTTATGAGATATGAAAAAAAAGAAGGCCCCCATACTTTTTCCTCATTGGATAAACGATGCTCCTGAGACAGAGAACTCGGGTTCTGATGGTCACCATG